GGGTGCATTTCCTTGGTATCTAAAGGTACCTGGGCACAAGAGCCCAAATACCATAATGGGCTGACAGAGGAAAGGAAAGGAAAACTGTTGCATTAATGCCTTCGTCATTCTGCGACCTAGAGTCGCAAAGTTTAATCGGTTTGTGACGTTCGCAACGAATAGAGAAATAAAATGAAACCCATGTGTTCATGACCATATTCAATCGATGATATATTTTTGTAAAAGATTTACTATATTTAGCTAGCGATTTAGGTAAGTTCAAATAATATAGGTTTCATGCTTAGTTTCAATTGAAGAAAATGTATTTAAGATTTTTCAAAATATTTATTGAAAACAGCGTTCTGTTCCTTTATATTTACAGTATTGATCTATCTACATATATAAAGCTATGAAGCTACAAAATGAATTTTCCATTATTATTTGTTACTACAAGAACCTTTATATCGACTGATTTGGATATAACCTTGACGTTTTGGGGTAAGTTTACTATTATTTTTACTACTAAAATATTTGAAAAGTATATATCTATTTAAAAATAATTTTATCATATATAAATATTTCATTATTTTCAATTGTAGCTTATTAATATTTTGATAATATCTAAACATGTTTCCTCTATTTCTATTATGTTCATAGTGCTCCTTTTTATAATCTACCAAACTGCATCTACACCTTTTTTGAAAATATTTTATACTTAATAAATAAAATTGGTTTGTAGATATAGAAGAACTAAGATTTTAAAACTGATGATTCAGAAGTATATTATACCTATTTTGTTTTGAGCGCAATTGGTTACCTGAGAATAATAGTACTTTCCTATTAATTTTGATTTTTTATTTTCCAAATATAAATTAATTTTTTTTGTCAATTATGGAACTGTAACTCAATTTCCTCGTTGATAAAAGACAATAAACTCAATTGATGTTTCATATCATTTATCGTTTCTGAAATATGTATTACTCAAACCAGCTTATAAAAACTACTTTTTCTAAATATTTTACCACTGATAACTCAAGATAGGGAACAATATGAATTTGAAGTTCTTTTATGTCCATAGAATTTTCTATTATTAATTTCAGTTAGGCATAATAGAACTGGGATACTGTATACCGGGCGACCGGAAACTATGAGCATACAATTATTTATGTACAACTTTCTGTACATTCTTTAAAAAACCTTAAAATTTTTATTTTTGTATTTAATATTTTACCATAACTTTTCAAATTTATTTTTAGTAACAAACTGCTTCGACGATATTAAAATAATCATAATTTTAAAAACTTAATAGGATGTTTACTAAAAAATTGACTAAAAAATTGTTCATAGTTTTTTTACAGTATTTCATGAAATTTCTTAATTTTTATAGATAATACTAATAATTTTATTATACAGGGTGTGGCGTGTATAATCTATAAAAGTTAAACTACAGCTTCCTGATGATATTTGTAATAGAAAACTCTTATACGAAAAAGTTCTTATCTTCGTTTTTTTTTTGTAAATGAAAGTTCATTTATTCAACGAAAATGAAGGCCGACCCTGTTATTTATTAAAAACTTTGGAAATGTTTTTATGCGACCCGAGATGCAACCTTATAATTTAAGTCGGTATAATCTAATACTAGTAATACTAAAAGAAGGTTAGGTTACATTGTCAAAAAATTTGTGCAGTCAACTGATTTTGTATTTGTATTGAATTCATTATTCACTTAATTATTAAACATTAAGCATCGTCCATCGACCCATCAGTGTTAAAAAGTGAAAGATTCCAGACAAAAGTCCTTATTTTGTAATTCCACGATAGTGACTAATTTTTATAAAAAACTAAAAAATAAGAATAGTGTGCCAATTAAAAACGAGATTCTTATTTTTTACTTTGTTTAATTTTTTAGTTTGTGCACAAACTAGTTTTACAATGAACGAGTAAACAATGCATTTACTATTTCCAAACGTATCGATATGGTGTTAGTGTATGGTGCAGCCGGAGAAAATGTGCTCGCGGCGACTAGGTTGTACCGGGAACAATGGCCGCAACGTCACGCCCTATATGCAAATACAATCCTACAGTGCGTTCACCGGTTGCGAGATACGGGGAGTGTTATTCCTCAAGGAGAAGTACGTGGTCAGCAAGTAAACCTTATTGTTGAAGATGCGGTGTTGGAAAATATTGACGAGGACCCTACACTTAGTACTCGACAACTCGCACAGCAAGTAGGAACCTCATCTCGTACCGCACATCGCATCTTAAAGCGCCAGCTGTTGCACCCCTATCATCTGCAACCAGTTCAGCAAATGTTACCCCCGGATTGTGATTAACGAATGCGTTTTTGCAGATGATTTCTATGGCAATGTGCCAATCACGTAGACTTTCCTGCTCATGTTTGTGTAACAGATGAGGCAACATTTACCCGTGATGAAGTGAATTTTTATAATATGCACATATGGGCCGATGAAAATCTTCAAGCGATTAAGGAAACTCATTTTCAACATCGGTTCACGGTAAATGTTTGAGCTGGCATAATAGGCGATGTACTTGTGGGTCCCTATTTCTTTGAAGGACGACCAACATATACTTTTTGGACGATGTGGCATTACAAGTTCGGGCACGCAGGTTTTATGGGTCTCCTCCACACAGTACTCGAGAAGTGACGACACTTTTGAATGAAATGTTTCCTCAGCGATGGATTGGACGCTTTCGTCCTGTGCCGTGGCCACCTCGGTCACCCGAACTAACTCCAGTGGACTTTTATCTTTGGAGTCACTTGAAGTCATTGGTTTACAATACTCCAATTGCTACGGTAGAAGCCGTATACTTGAAGCTGTTGACACAATTAGGGGAATACCTGGAATTTGGGAAAATATTCGCCAAAATTGGGTGAGTCGGTGCCATGCCTGTATCCGCTCTAATGGGGATCAATTTCAACATTTTCTCCAGAAATGGTAAGTTTTATTTCATTTTGTTCCATATTTTAATGGAGTTTGTTTAGTGCACGCAGTTGGCAACTCCAGATGTTTACGGACGTGGTTTTGTTTTATTATAATAAGAAAATATCAGTTTTTTTTAAATATCTTAGTTTGTACTTTTGCATTGAAAAACTCCCCAAAAATTGAGAAGTATCTTTCTATCTTTCAACGACGATTTGTTTACGCGGCTGGTCTACAGCACGTAACTACTAACTCATCGTAAGCACGCGGACATGACCGTTCCAGAGAAAATATTTTGATTCATAATTGAACTTTAATTTATGAAAAAAAAACGCAAAAATAGAACTTTTTCATATAAGACTTTTCTATTACAAATATCGTTAGGAGGCTGTAGTTTCATTTTTATAGATTATACACGCCACACCCTGCATATTCAAATTCTGTTTCATTTATGACTGCTACAGTGTGTCTACCTTTATTTATGTAAATCCGAAGAGTGAAGAAAATTTGCAGTATTGACAATATTCAGGATGTGTCAGATTTTATGTCGAACTCGAAATTATGTGTAGTAAATATGATTTTTCATATGAACTGTTTTTTTTAGGGGACTTAATATTATATTAAGGTATGGTATATACCAAATTTAATTTGAATACTTTCTCAAAGAAGCAGAATTTTTGGAAAACCTGAAAGAGCAATCATTTTTCCATTAATTATGTATTCTTGTTTCATTTCGGTATCTCGATCCGTTTTCGAGAAAAATCGATTTAACGAACACTATGTTTTGATAATACGAGAAATTAAAAGCGAAACAAACCAAGTGTTTCTTCGTGTTATTACAACAATTAACAATAAAACAAAAGAAATTCGTAATAATGATTTAAAGTCGGTGTTCGAAGAATCCACCGTTGACATTTACACACTTTACACAACGTTTTCTGAGAGATCTTCGAGTTTGAAACAACATATTGGGATTGCGTTTGACTTCGTTGGCAGCGATTTATATTGTATTTGCCACAACTCTTCACACGAACTAATAGATTCTTCCAAATAGAAAAATGAAGTGGATTGAAGTCCGGACTTCTGGGTGGCCAAGTAAAAATGCTTCCACGGCTTGAAGAAGTTCCACTTTATTTAAGAAGAGACATGGTTCATGCACGACGGAGCTCCACCGCATTTTTCTTGACCAGTGCGTGCATTTTAGATGCAGTTCTTCCAAATCGCAGGATTGGCCATGTAAGCATTTTTGCTTGGCCATCCAGAAGTCCGGACTTCAATCCTCTTGATTTTTCTATTTGGTCCCAATATGTTGTTTCAAACTCGAAGATCTCTCAGAAAACTTATAGTGTATCAGTGTCAACGGTGGATTCTTCGAACAATTACTTTAAATCATAATTAGGTATTTTATTTGTTTTATTGTTAATTGTTGTAATAACACGAAGAAACACTTGGTTTGTTTAGCTTTTAATTTCTCATATTATAAAAACATAGTGTTCGTTAAATCGATTTTTCTCGAAAACGGATCGAGATACCGAAATGAAACGAGGGTACATAATTAATGGAAAAATGATAGCTCTTTCAGGTTTTGAATCAAATTTCATGTAAAATGTACAGGGTAAAAAGTTATTAACTAAATTTTCGGTAAAATTGGTCGTCGTAAGTGGCGCCCTCTATGCGCAATGTTGAAATTACAACACGCATCTTATTCGTCGCCTAAAAAAATATAGTTTCACAAATTTTCAAGTTCCTAACCTACATATTTTCACAATAATCGCAAAAAAACTATTTAAAATTTTAACTTTCAACACCCTGTATTTCCGAAACTATCAATTTTCGGATAAGGCATGTTTGCGCCAATGGTCACCATTTCACGTGTAGTATCTTCAGCTTTCGACTTTCCCATTGTTAATGAATCACCCTGTATATTTTTCTAATTTCAGAAAAATTTCATTTGCAACAAAGAGTTATTCGATGTTAACAATGACCAAATGAGACAGGTTCCTGGGCAACGCAAGTCGACAGTTGCCCAGGAGAAGCAAAACATTGACACATTTCAGTGTCACTCAAAAATGCCAAAAAATGAAAGCCGATGAAGAAAACACTGAGGAAAAAATTAACGAAAAAGACAAACCGAAAAACCTCGAAGTCACATCTCTTGTGTCCAGTGCTCCATCGTCCTCAAAAATACGTACTGTCACCGCAGAAATACAAGAAACCATAAACAAATGTACGAAAAGATCCAACAGTTACATTGAAAATAAATATAAATGCACTATCACTTCGGAGAGATTAGCTCAATTGAGAAAAATTGTAGAGAATGCGACAAGGGATCACAAAGTTTTTTCAATCAAAGGTAAAAGAAAGTTTAACATCTAAACATAGTATTAGTTTTATTTAACTACAAATCTAGTCACAATTTGACTAACGTTTTCAATAATTCGCGTTGCCGAATAAGTAGGAGATTATGGAAAGAAATTAATGCAAATCTCGCATACTAACGTCGATATATGCTAGCAATGTTTGATATGCATGAAAGTTCTCCAAAAATATTCATTGATGCGCCAAGTTGTGTCATACACACGACACACAGATGTGTAGCATGAAAACGTGACAAATATCACCTCAAATGTTCCTAAACATTCTCAACACGTTGGGTATATTTACCAATTGTTCACATATCAAGTGTTGGTATTGGTGTTTCGTACATTTAGGCAGATTCGTTTTCACTTGTTGAATAGTCTAAATTCACTAAATGAAGATGCGGTTTTACATTCATACAAAAGTTTGTAGTCAACGTAAAGTACAGATATACAGGGTGTTCTCCACCTGGAAAATATCGGAATTTAAGTGTCTTGTCTTATTCTTTAAGTGACTTAAAATTCTTCTTCTTAATTCTTAGTTAGTCTCTTAGTTTTAATTGAACCAATTGACCAACTTTAGAAAAATAAGAAATATGTTCTACTTCAGAACTTCGAGAAATATTTGTCACTGGGGAAAGAAATGTGTTTGTTTCTGAAGTTTCTGAAGCTATAAAATTTGGGGCTAGTTGGGTAAAACTAACTAGAGAAAAAGAACATTTCGACTTCATAAATAGGAACCTTCTCGCAACTTTATAACGATATTCCAACTAGTTTCACTACATTATCAGTTGTCACTTTTCACACTACAATTAATATTTTTGTCATCTTGACTTTAAGATAGATAATGCTTATCCTGAAAGAGGTACACCATATAGGCAACTGATTGATAGATTTGGATTTCAAAGTTTAGATTTGAGGAGAAAATTAAACTCAGTCACTTTCCTCTACAAGTTATTAAATGGTCAAATTGATCCTGAGCTTCTGAGTAAATTTAATTTTCATGTTCCTAGGCATAATTCTAGAAATACCGATACTTTTTATTGCTTGCGAAGAAAAACTAATATTTTATTTAAGTCACCTATATACAATATGTGCAACTTATTTAATATGGTGTCGCATCTTTGTGGTATAAATCATACCAGCTTAAAATCTAGTTTATTAATCGTTTCAGGTACTGTAGATGAAGATTTCTGTTAGTTAGTTATATAAGTTATTCCCTTTGTCTTTTTTTTTTCTATTTATCAGTCATTATTACTTTACCTATTGTTGTATATGTAATTGTCCTATTATTGGTCTTGACTGTTGGGCAATAAAGCATTATTATTATTATTATTTACCATTGTGGCTTTCTTTTGTCTGTTATCACGAAATATTATTTATGTCTTTTACAAAAGGACATTATAATCTATAGTTCTGATTAAATGTTACCCCAAAAGTTCATGTAATTAAAAAATGATTATTATGTAGGGTGTATATCATTTCAGGGGCTAATTCCCTGGATTATTTTAAAAGGAAAAGTTCGTACGATTGTATGTCCTAAACTGTTACTTTTCCAAAAATATGGTTTAAAGTTTTTAAAAATATAACGTTTACGCGAATGTCTTTGAAAATGTTTGACTTAGATTGATGAAACTAAGGCTTGTAATTTAACTAAGTAAATTTAAAAATTCATTGAAATTGATAACCATTATGTCAATCAATGGCGGAAACTAGGAAGCACAAAATCGCTTATATTTTATTCAGAAGACGATGTATTTTAGAGTACCTACACTTGTATAATAATACAAGGTGCACTTTAAGGCTGTATTACAAATTCAAATATCACATTTTTTTCAAATAGCTCTGAAATTGGTCTTGTGCTTGTAGGTGGTTGGCCAGTTATACGAAGAGAACTACTGAAACGAAATTGGCTAGAAAAAATTGAACATGCAGGGAAAATTAAATATTCAAATCTAGATGAAGTGACCAGTAACTTGCCAAAAAAGCAAGAATGGGAATCAACTCAAAGTTACGTTGAGAAATGCGAAAAAACGGTGATGTCCAGAATGCTTCAAAACTATGACGTTGATTTCTACTGGAGTATGCGAAAGGACCAAAGTGACCTTCAACATAGAGGGAACGCTTTTAAATTGATAAATCGTTTCAGCAGATCATTATTTGCGTCCAAGGAAGGACTAGCACTGCTTTTGCAACAGGCTTATTGGTATACTGAAGCGGGAGTGTCTAGTATTAATTTTCCAAGAGTTTATGTATTAGGAAAGTATTTTCATCAACTTATATCGTTTACATTAATTTAAAATTAAGATCATTATTATTACGAAAAAGAAAAACATAAGAAAACTAAATTTAAACTTTAAATAAGATTCCTACTTTAAGCTTTGACAGTCATTAAGTACTATTTTAAGAATTCCGTACCTTGCGCCGTATATTGCTAATTGATTAGGTTCCAAACAAGGGCAAGTTAAAAAATCAACAACATTAATTATTTCGGTTGTTCCTGTTATATCTTAGGTGATCTCGTAAAATTGTTTGGATCGATTGCAACTATGCTCGCATTGAAATAAATTTGCATAATCCTTAGTTCCATCTATTTATAGACTGTCGCAAAAGAAGGAAAATATATAGGTTTAAATGAAATTAATAAATCCTTAAAGGAGAAAATCTTAGGGATTGATTCAGGCATCAATCTTAGAAATTCCTCCACTGTCAATTTTGTGGTGAATATTATCAAAACTATACCTTTTACTAAAATAAATAAAACTTGTAGGTAACGAATTTGTAAAAAATTACCGGGACTAGTTAATTTTTAATTGGGAAGGCGTATTCTGACATCAAACATTACGAAGAATCTTGTATTAGTTTTAAAAAGAAGACAGGGTTATAGAATTGTTATACAGGGTGTTACAGAATGGGGTTTTAAAAATTTGGAAGATTGTAGAAGATGAAATTCTGAACATTTTGCAATAAAGAACCTATAGCGGGAAATGTGAAATACAGCTTTTACAGTAGCAAGGAGGTGTGAGTAGCTACCCTTCTATCCATTGACATTATATAATTGCTGCAAACGGAAGACACACAACTATAGTGGTCTACCTAAGTCTGTGTAAAGGAAGTTGTTTACTTAGTGGTTGTCGTCCATCAGTTCACCCCTTCCATCCACTGGCGCTGTCTGTAACCATACAGCTAGTCAAATTGAGTCCATTACAGTTTTCTGTTTATCGTGCTTTATATAGTACAGTTAAGTTCTGACTTCATCGAGGATAATTACACATTTGGAGAACTTGCTGAATTTTGTGTTATGGTGAAACGTGCAGGAATGCCAGTGGAGCTTCTCGGTTGTACGCAGGAAGGTACCCAAAAAGACGACTACCTAGCAACCCATTATTAACCAATGTTGATCGTCGACTGAGGGAAAGAGGAACCGTGTCTGCTGATACACATTAGGCAAGTACAAGCACACGTACAATTGCCCACGCAATGCACGTGAGTTTGAGAACACGTGAGTATTAGCAGGTCTTGAACGGTGAGCACCTACATCCATTCCATGATCAACCAGTTCAAAGTATGGGACAGCTTGATTTTGAACCAAACTATAAACTACAGTATTATGGTGGTTCATTTATCGAATGCGTAGAAAGTGTATAGAGCTGTAAAAACTTTATTTCATATTTCCGGCTATAGGTTCCTTATTGCAAAGTGTTTCGAATTGACATCCTCTACAATCTTTCAAATTTTTAAATCATCAATCAATACCCTGTATAAAGGAAAAAATGTGTGTCACCGATCGTAGAGGTGAATGTGACAACATCAGAATTGATAACAAAACGTTTTCTCAAAATTAAAATTGGTCTATCTCAATTTTATAAAAAGAAATCATTTTAGCGCGTATTTTTTATCGTTATATAAATACAGGATGAACTTTGCAGCTTGCAGCTTTTGGTTATATCACAGTACAGGATCTTATTTTTTCTGTTTTGAATTTCTTTATTACAAAGATATGTATATAAAATAAAATCGTATTATTTCGGAAAATAAAGTGGCGAAAACATCACCTGAAATTTCTGATAAGTTTGATGTTAAATATTTTCTGACCTATTTATCCGATTAAAATGAATTTTTTTGATTGCGGACTGATTCGCGGGGAATATTGATGTACCGATTTTCAGTCACGATTCAATTTTGATTAAATACTGGAAGTTACTTTGAAAAGGAATTTTTTACAGAATTTTGATAACGCCCTGTGGAGTACACAAACGTCATCTGTAAAACAATAATCACACTGGCTGATCTGTTCTTAAAATGGTATTTCTTTGTCTTGTCTCTATTATTAAAGGAGATGCATATTTTTATAACTGCAAGATTTCATTGTCGGATAAAATGCAACGTTTTTACAATAAAAGTTTAACCTTTGATATCCTTAGCGATTTTCCGCAGTACTATTACATTTTAAATGAGACTTTTAAATTAAAAAATAAAAGCGTACTATGGTCTATAACTTTATAAACATTTTTGTTGTTGTTAAAGTGGTACCAACAATCAGTAGATATCCTGCTACAAAAGCTAACTCATCCTACATACATTATTTCAAGTAGGTTGGATTATTTACAAAAAATTTATATTATTTTAGAATTTAAAACATAGTGTCGTGGAGTCAAATAGATCGGGTTTTCCTCAAGCAACAAGGCTTGATTGCTTTTTTCCAAATTTGGTCTCTTTGGAGCTTTTTTGTTCACCCTGTATGGCACTTTACGGCTCTGATACCCCTAGTGAAAATCACAGTCTCTTAGACACTAAAGATTATGTAGAGAAATAATAACACAGGTTGAGGTTGAAATATGTGATTTATTTATGCTTGTTTGATATGACAGAAATGCAGCTGTTTCAAATACGAATGCTTTTGCTTATGGCGTACACACTCTGGCCAAGGACTATGCAATTGTTAAACAACTGCAATTGGCTAGGGTGCGTGTTCACTCGCCTGCGGGGTGAATTCCGGTAATCTTCCTGTTACGTGATCCGGTTTAGTGGCACCCCATTCCAGTTGGCGATATCTGCGTTCCTGCCTCGTATGGCTGTTTGGGTGAAGTTTGAAGTCTGAAATTAGACAATGTTGAATTTAAATTCAATCTTTTTCGCGGTTTTTTTTCTCGATAGTTACTCGAAATTTTCTTCATGCTCGTCTCTCGTCGGCACGGGTTGTTGTCATCATTCGATTGAACCAAGAACTCTCGGCGTTGTATACCGTTGTCAATCAAGGCATTTTTATTAAACTAGTTTTACATAATCAGAAATCTCGCACTGAAAAAGCAGGTGGATTAGTCTCATTTTCTTTAGTATGAGGTTTTTGGTTAGACAAAATTAGTTTCATAAAAATAACCCTGAATTTAGCATAAGAACTTCATAAATATTTTATTGTTTTTTTCATAAGTGAAAAAGTATCTAAATAAATAGAAAAATAACTAGATATTCAATTTTTGGTGAATTTATGTTTACCTGTATGTAGAAGTAATAGATATTAATTAATTTTTTGTTCAAAAATATTATTCATACATCTATTGGTTTCACTTTTACATTGTCTATTATTATTAAGGTTTATTTTCCTCAAAAAAACTGTACAAATTTGAAAATTTAGGATTTCCAGATCACTACAACTTATTTGTGGATGATTTTCGCATGTCAGCGTGTATGGGGCTATTAAAATGGTTCGTAGAAAAGTACGAAAAAGGCAGTAAGCGTGACATTCAGTCTCCAGAAGGAAAAGTACCTTTTTCTGCCCTACAATTTGCCATAGATAGGTGTACAGATTACATAGCTATCCAAAAACATATAGACATAGATAAGGATTTTCCTCGCATTTGGGACCATGAATGGGAACAATTTCTATCCAACTACTATTTAATCGTACATGGAAATGAGTTATTTATCGAATTCACTGAACCAATACAATCTGCTTATGGTAAAACAATTTTAATTATAATTCTTAATTAAAGCAAAGTATTTAGTATATTCGTCTAGCATCTTAATTATTGAGCTTAAATATAGAATGTAACATCGACGTTGCGATAAACTTTCAGGACGAATTTTTTTCGTCAAATTAAACAAAAGCTTTTCCTACGCTACGATCTGCGCAAAAGACAGACGTGAAACAATTTTTCGCAATTATTCAAAAATATTAAAATATTAAAGTCATAGACTGCAGCTCCTTCATAGTTGCTACAACCCATATACACATTTTAAACAAAAACTAACCAATGGCATTGGAATTAGGAGGGGTTTGGGGAATTCAGCTGTCATGTTATTTGACGTTAAAAAGGAGACAGTGCCCAACTCCAACTCGTCTATCTATAATTAGTACTTTTAACAACAAATATGAATTTATTATAAACAATATGAGAAGTTAATAAAGACGAATGCCCATTTCTTCGCCACTGGTTGTTTACTTGATGTTACCGCTTCTTAAGGCAACTTATTGTGATATGTACCAAATGTAATTCTCTCTTTGTTGAAACTTTATCACCCTGTATCGCGAAGACTGAACGTTTTTAGAAAAATGTTCATATGAAATAATCCTATTTATATTCAAAATTTTACTCGTATCTTCTTTGGTCTGACGTTTAATGTTCTCCCAAAAAAACGCAAAAAAATAGGTATGTACAAAAACCAGCATACCAAAATTGGATAAATGGATATTAGAAACATGATTTATAGTGTTCTCAAAACGGAGTTACTCTGACACAATTAGGTACAAGAAAAATTAAGTGATGGAATACGACTTTCCGGGAAAATGTACCTTCCTGTACACCATTATTAAAAAACTGGGATTTAAGTGAAATAAAACTAAGAACAATCGGCGCGTACTAATAAAGAAGACTGATATTTACGTAGGCCAATTGTCTTTTTAGATTAAACTTACATTCATGCAGCATGAATCATGCTGGCCATACTAGTTCCAACAGTAGGACAGACAATATCAGTAACGGTTTGCTTTCAAGTATATCTAAAGGTAATCGATTAGTTATTGTTCATGCCGGTGGTGAAATTATGAGAAGTGGCTTACAGAGAAGCAGAGAAGTTGATTCAAGACCTCCCTCCGAATTGTATTGTTGTGACTGATAATGTACCATATCATAATATACAATATCATAATGTACAAAAGTACAGAAAGCTTACAGCTGGCAGAAATAGGAATTTTTCTAATCCTTTCAAATCTTCCAATCGATTCGTCTGCTAAAGAGAGAAAAATAATTAATTTAATTACAACTGCTAAAATATTTCATATCCCAGATATACATCATTTAGTATCTATTTTTTTCAGAACAGCAAATTAATACTCCCTTTTCACTTGAAATCCGACAATGTTAAGAGACATGTTTGTGCACAATCAACACATAATTGGAGTTTGAATACGATTTTTATTGTTTCCCGTGCCCCTTTAACGTATACACTATTTGAAACAGATACATATCCTTATGTCGATTCTAAAAATTCACATCAAAAGTAAGAATTTAATAATGACTCTTAAATGAAGTATGTTTGGACTAAGGTAAATTTACTTAGATTGTCGACTTGCCTAAAATATCACATTGAGAATATCGAAGTATTCTTGATTACACATAAAATACTGATACGCTTGACTAATTATTATTTACGGTTCGAAATCTTTCATTGGTCGTTGAATGGAAATATCATATACCTACAATCAGGTGTCTACCTAAATGCCTTCAACAAACCCAATGCTTGTACTAAATATCATTTTTAGATATTAAGACAGACCATTTCCAAACAAAACTTGTATTTCCCTTAAGTTTACTTTGCAGAATTCAAATAACGAGTCTTAAAATATTGTCAATGTTATAAGGGTTGCCTTTTATGTTTTGGATTAGAAAACAAAAAAGAAATTAAACATCGTATATGGCTTTATTGTTTTTCAAAATATTCACCCTGAAGATCAATCAATACATTTTTGAATGCGCGTGAACCAATTTTCTAAGCACTTTTTTCACTCCGATTGAGGTACTGCCAAAACCTACGTTTTGAACGCTTCAGCCGCTTCTACAAACATTGAAAAACGTTGAGCTCGTATTTTATTTTTGATGTGCAGAAATAAAAACAAAGTAATTGGATGCCAAATCAGGGTTGTACGATGGATAACGCATCAATTCGACTTTTTCAGCTCTCAAAAAGTCTCTTATTTGAGCCGATGTGTAAAAGGTCGCATTGTCCTGGTGGAAAATGGTGCGTCTTTGGCAATTGAGTCCCTTATTTTTCCGAAGATTTCTGACAAAGAAATGGTTGTGTATTATTCAGAATTAACCGTTCGACGTTGCACTAATGGTACAGTTACCACATATCCGGTTTTTCCATTTGCTTAGAAGTGCTTCGTGCGAGAACAACTTGTTGGATTTGGCTCATTTTGAAAGAGCCATACAGTCGACTGCTGTGTACTTTCGGGCTCATATGCATAGATCCATAATTCGTCACCTGTTACAATGTCACAGATGTGTTTTGAAGCACTACGATCGTATTTCTTGAGCATTTCTTTCGACCAATCGACACGAGCCTTTTTTGAACGTTTGTGAAATGATGTGGGACCCAACGCGAACAAATTTTTTTGGTAGCCAAATGTTCATGCAATATTGAATGTATGCCGGTCCCAAGAATGCCTCGATTTCACGATAAGTCACATGACGATCTTGCAATATCAGCAGCAATGTATTGACGACTTTCACCAAATTCGTCAATGAGCGAACCACAACAACGATTTAATTCCGTGTACCACCAATATACAATGATTTTTAATAGTGCTTCATAGCCAAAAGTGGAATTAAGTTCAACGATACACCGTTGTTGAGATAATCTACGTCGAAAGCTGTAAAAAATAGTCGCACTGACATGCTCAAGACTTCATAATTCCAACATCACTGGTTAGTTTTTGTTCACATTTTATATGTAAGCATAGAGCTTTTAGCAATCATCTAAAATGAATTACTTTTGTTCGTTTGTTTTCACTAAATGAACCAGTCATGAAAGTTTTTCGCAATGACATTATTACACATGTATATTGTAGCCAAATCCAAGTCCAGTCTGAAAGACATGAGCAAATACTGGCCTCAGTACGACATCGATGGCATGAAGAATATTTGGATTCTCAAACCGGGTAACAAATGTAGAGGGAGAGGAATTCAACTTGTGAAGAATATCTCTTCCGTGGATAAAGTAATGGGCCAAAAATTAAAATACGTTGTCCAAAAGTACATAGGTAAAGCGCAAATGAGTAATTTGTTATAAACTTAAAGAAATTGTAGTTTGTTTTCAGAAAAACCTTTAATTATATACCAAACGAAATTTGATATCAGACAGTGGTTTATGGTGACGAACGTTCAGCCACTTACCATATGGATGTATAGGTAATGATCTATTTTTCTACTTTAAATATATGTATAAACTTACAAGAAAACGCATACAGTCCCAAAATGATGGAACAAAATTCATATATTTTTTTCAGTTGAAATTTAAAATAATCGCTAAAACAGGTAAATAGAAATTGTAACTTTTCTGCAATATTTTCTATTTTTTTAAGCCATGTTTGACAGACCTATAACATTACCGATATATTTTTTAATAGGACTCTCTATACTTTATAGTATAAATAGATAACCCTTCTAAAGACAAATTCAGCGATATAAGGTTATACCTACTTTTTTGTCATAGTTGTCAAGAAAAATTAAAAAATTGTCTTTTATGTCGTACTGGCGATCATTTCAAACAATCATAGTCTCTTCTGTACTTTAAAAACCGTACCTACTCTTTATTAATCTTTTTCTACTTACTTTAAAGCTTTTTTTCTCAAAAAAAAAACACATCGATAAACATAAAATTCACCGGAGTACCTTAGGTATAACGTAAATCGTTTTAATTCCAATTCATTCGTTGTTAAATTATTTTGAAAAATGATTGCCCGTTTAAGCGAAAAACAGAGGATTGAAATTTTAATTATGATTGGATGCGGAGATAAAGTCCGTAGTCAACAGGAGGTATGTGACTTATCTCACCATAAGTATCCAGACCAAACTATCCAAAAAGTTTGAAGAAACCGGCAATATAAAAGATTTACCTGGATCAGGAAGGCGAAGAACGGTATGCGAAAATTACCGTTAAAATGTGATGCTCGCCATTACTGAAAATTGTCACTCATCCATTAGATCTATCTCAGCCAACTTCAACTCGTCGAAGTCCTCAGTTCACAGAACTCTGAAGTCTCAAAGGTAGCATCCTTACAAAGTTAACGTCTTACAAGAACTATAAGCAGATGACGCGGACAGAAGATTACAGTTTTGCGAGAAAATTATTTACAAAAACAAAATATCACACCTCTATTTCAATTACGAGTTAATTTCGTTACTCTTCCAGGATTAACTATTGATTTCATCTTCAAATGAACTGTTAATTTCACTTCTTATTACCTTGCAACGTACTCGGGTGTAGAATTTAAAGCTGTTCCAGAATCCAACCTCAGGAATACAGGTGCCGATATAAAAAGAAATAAAGTCTGCCTTCAAATGACCTTCAAGATTAAATCCAAGATCACCGATTCATGATCCCGAACATCCTTAAAACATTTTTAGAGGTCATCATGATCGATCTGTTGTCGACTATCAAATGACCTTGAAGGCCAGTCAAGATCAAATCCAAGCTCTTGATTAGCCTTCAAGGTCATGGTTATGAACACATTCAAGGTTAGCAACTCTTTCACCCAATGATCTGAACAACTTTCAAGTAGCATATTTTTTGATCAGAGACAAAATTGAAATTAAATTTATCGTTTCTGAAATAACCTGGGAAAGACGTGAGAAATTCCGTTATCAATGATCTACTAATTAAGGCACTTATGATACAGTCCTAAAAAATTAGCGATCAAATTCATCGTCTCCAATTTACCTAAATACTTCATAAAAGAAAATTAGTAAAATTAAAGTTAGAACTACTTGTGAAAACGATGTATATTGTTTTACTGCTGAGTTTTAATAGGCCAGGAAAGTAAGCTGGGAAATGACCATTTCGCGACTTTTTGTTTCGGCAAGCTGAATTTATCACTATAGATGCTAAATATTATGTACAATAACATGTTAGTTTCCACAGTCATAAAAATGGGAGGAAAATTGTTTACAGGGTGGTTAATTGTATAATTTTTACGTAAATTCACGTTTTTCCCTTAAAACTTTTTCCGTTCATTTCCACGAGAAAAGAGTACAGTGCTTTTTTTCGCCTTCAAAAGACCTACAAAACTAGCCCTCAAGGGTCAAAATATATTGATTAGATCAAAAGTTATAAACAGAAGAAAGTTTATTTATGACTTTTGAATTAAACATTTATAAACTGCGTTATTATTACCAGAACGTTTTGGCATCGCATTGTCTCATTCCTTATCTGTCTAATAACTCACACGAAATCTGGAATCGTTAAGTTGAATACTTTACAAGTTATGGCCTTATAAACAAATTAACTAATTATTAGTCTGGACGATCCCGAGGATCTTTTACAATCGCACTGATTTTTTCATGGTAGATTTCATAATAATATATTGAAATCTATTATTTATTTTTTTTAATTTCAAATTTGCAACCTGGATTTTTTTTTAATTTTTTAGTCTTGGTTGCAAAATGAAATATACGACGTACGAGTGTGATATAGTTATATATTATTACATATTCGGAAAGCTTATGAAAAGAGCTTTAAGTTATAAAAAATCGTCAAGATTCGTTGAAAAACAACGGAGTTACAGACTGTCAAAGTTGACGGCCTATTGATAAACAAATTGGGTTGGTAGCGGCAAAAAAAAATAGTATAATAACCGGCAACCCGAGTACTTTCCCAGGTAAAAATATTTTATTTGTGGAAGTATGTTAAGTGCATAAGAAATATTGTCAAAAGTCAGTGGGTCGCTTGATTTTCGGCGAGCCGTGGCGCGGCGGAAGGGTGGGGGAAGCGAACGACAGCGAGTCCGAAGAAAAAGGCGATAATATTCATAGTCCTGCCGTGTGTGTTTTGAAATGGTACTGGTTCATCACCAAATAGCCAGTCTTTGAGTCCTGCTGCTAAATAAGCGAAATTCGCTTGAAAATAATATATTTGACGATTTTTTTTAACTTAAAGCTGTTTTCATAAGCCTTCCGAATATGTAATAATATATAACTATATCACGCTCGTGCCTAAAAAATAAAAAAAAAATCCAGGTTGCAAATTTGGAATTAAAAAAAAATGATAGATTTCAATGTATTATTATGAAATCTAACATAAAGAAAAATCAGTGCGATTATGGAAGATCCTCGGAATCGTCCAGACTAAATTAGTTAATATTTATAAGGCCATAACTTATAAACTATTCAACTTATCGATTCCAGATTTCGTGTGAGTTATTAGACAGTGATAAGGAATGAGAGGATGCGATACCAAAATGTTCTGGTAATAATAATGCAGTTTATAAATGTTTAATTCAAGTCATAAATAAACTTCTTCAGTTTATAACTTTTGATCTAATCAATATTTTTTGACGCTCGAAGGCTAGTTTTGTAAGTCTTTTGAAGACGAAAAAAAATACATTACTGTTTTCTCGTGGAAATGAACAGAAAAAAATTATAAGCGAAAAACGTGAATTTACGTAAAAATTATACAATTAACCACCCTGTAAACAATCTTCCCCCCATTTTTATGACTGTGGAAACTAATATGTTATTGTACATAATATTTAGCATCTATAGTGATAAATTCAGCTTGCCGAAACAAAAAGTCGCNAATCCGCTACCGCCAAAACGTTGTTTGTGCTCCGTATGCTTTTATTCTCAATGTGGGACGTGAGAATTTTATTTACTAGTCCGTATGTGGGGAATTATAGTTACTCGTATTTTATAAGAAAACTTTGTGTAGAATAGATAAAAAGGCTCGTTTATATTAATAAATTCATTTGAAATAATATACAGGTCAACCAAATCCTTTGAGTCCTGAGGGTAGAATGCGCAATGGCAAAGAAGTCAAGGTCACTAGAGAATAAGGTTAATAATAATAATAATAATAATAATAATAATAATAATAATAATAATAATAATACACTAAAGACAAGCAGTAATTTTTACATTAGATATCAGAGGAATATCATCAATTAATTTTGAAGGAATTCTAATTTTTACTCTGGGGGATAACAGAAAGACAAAAATAATACACCAAATTAAACAAAAATTCTAATTTTTTTATGATCGGTAGAAAAACCGTGAAGGTGAATCTAGTGATGAACGACTGATGGTGCTTCCTACATTTTCATGGAGTAATATATCTTTTTTAGTTACCCACTTTATACCTTCACCCACTTCATGGAATCTGCCCTATCTGTGATCCTTAACCTGTCTTGTGAATAAAATAGTATATCTCTAAAATTTTATTTATTTATTCGTACGAGTTTAAAATTTGTATTTTTAATTATGGGACATATTGTATGAGTGAAAAAATATTTTTCTACAACCACTTATGTCACTAAACAGGATTTTCCGTAATGATTGGGTCACAGTCATAGAGGAACTATAGATTGTAGACATGAAAATAATGAGATTTAGCCAAATATGCCTTAACAAAATATTGCTATTTTTAAAAGATACAGTGTTAAATTTTAGTTTTAGAGAAAATAACTTGAAAACTCGGAATGAGGGTTTTTTGATGGAGGGAAATCCGAATTTGAACTTAGTTATCAGATTACTAATAGAGGGCGCTAGTTATGCACTTATGAATAAAAATTGCGCATCGTAATTTTTTATGCAACCCTCTATTTTCAATAAAAATACTGATTAACTGATTATTATTTTTAAAGGAAAAAGGTATACTTGTTTGATATCGATAACCCTCCCCAGTTTCAAGATATTCGCACTAGAATCATTTAATGCAAGTGAACTTTCTGACAACTGCTGACATGATTCATTTACTAACACAAGTAGGTTCTGCCGACTGTTATTAAACAAACATTTGTTATATCCAGCAACAACAAATTTACAATGTTAAATAAAATTTATGAAATATACAGGGGATTCAGAAATTTTTTGAATGTACAGAGGACTCTTTCAAATACAATTTTGTAAAGAAAATCAAAAAGGGCTGTTCGAAAATGATTTAAAAATACACTTCTGCACGGCACTGGAAACTGATCCACTGTAAAACCTGACCCTGCGCAATGCAAAGCATGCAGTCTTCGACCGCCACGGTGACAAAATGTTATACAAAAAAGGAACGGACAAAAAATTGTAAGAATTTCTTTCCCAAAGAAATAAATAAATAAAATTTTATGACACCTATTTTATATCAGCAAATTTAATTGCTTTTGCCGCTATTATTAATAAATTAAATTAATTTGTGGTTTTAATTAATAAAATAATTTGATATACCTAGGTACCTGATGTTACAACAACTGTTCAAAATTTTTACCGACGTGTAAACACAGTTCCTACGAACTAACACAAATGCTTCACAATAACACAAATGTTGTCTTGCTTCCCCATAAATTAAAACGATATCCATCAACTCCGACTTGCTATACACTTAAGCCATTTTTGATACTTGAAAAACTAATGTAAACACTATCGTAAAATCGAATTTTAGTATTCGGAATCGCCTGGGGCCACATGGAGAGAGAGCGCACTACGCACAGCACACAACGCGAATAACGCTAAAGACTACAGTAGCCCAGCGATATAAGGGTTGAAAATACTACAACGTCAATAATATTTTTTCTCGGAAACTATAAGGATTTTACAAAAAAAATTTTTTACCATATTAACTCCATTTTTCATGACTCATCTATTCCCAAGTTTTTTTGGATAAGTTGAGAATCACCCTGTATAATAAATCTAAAATCAATATTTAACACACTGTATTTTTTAAAGGAGCAATATTTTAATGCATATTTGGCTAAATCCCATTATTTTCATGCATAGAATATATAGTCACTCTATGGTTCAATCTGACCATCCTATATACAGGATGTTTCATAATGATGGGCAAATATTTTAAGGAGGCGATTAAAAAGTAATTTTAGGGGGGTACTTCCAATAAATTTTTTTTTTATTTGAGCCCCTCCTGAGAAAATATTCAAATCTCAAAATGGCCGAAAAAAATTCGCGAAAACGGTTAAACTTAGAAATTTGAATTTTAGTACACGTTAACAACTAGTTGAATGGTATTTTTGGGTAGTCTTTTTTTTCTGGTTTATGTTTTGAAATAAATTAGCACCCCTTGGTTTTATTTCTCTCAGAACTTTTTTCTACGTTAGCCAATTCCAACAAGAAAAGTAGCTTTTAATACTACATTTAATTTAGAAACTGTTTTTACTCTTCCCATTTTTTCGTATATTTAATGGTTTACGAGTAAAAAATAAATTTATTTTTCCTTGCCGATTAGGTACACATAATTAGTTTAACAGTTACCAAAACGATTGTCATTTTTGACATGCTTTTTGCAAAAATTGTTTTTATCACTAGGAAAAGCTAAGCAAATATGAACTAAAAGCGGCCATTTTGAGATTCGAATGTTTTCTCAGAGAGGCTCAAATCGAAAAAATGTATTGAAAGTACCCCCCCCCCCTAAAGTAACTCTCTAAATAGTATAGGATCCCACCATAAAACGACCTTCACCGAGCTGGTTAATGCATGAAAAGTATTTTATATCCAATTAAATATGTCAATAAATATATTGCAAATGGGTTGTCTAAAAAATTTCAGTCCAGAATATAATTAATTAACAATTAAAAAAAATTTTGTTTAATTGTTAATTAATCAATTAAAATAAGGTTCTTTATTCATAAATACGATAAAATGATCGTGCGTAAATTGTAGTACGTTTTTTGTTTTTTCAGAGACTGTTATTTACGATTTAGCAGCCAAATGTTTGATTTGAACAATTTCCACGAATCGTTGCACTTAACAAACCACGCCGTACAGTGCAAATATACCAACATGCAACAGAGGGATAAAGCCCTGCCTGACGACAACATGTGGGATTGTCAGATGTTCAAAGCATATTTAAAAAAAATTGGTTGCATGGAAAAATGGGACAATGTTATTTATCCTGGTAAGATATATACGTTACGTGTACAGGATTTTCCATTGCAGCAAATCAAACTATCTACCCTTTCTTTTATTGAGACGTCCTGTATAAATGTTAATAAATGTTAAATAATGTGCAATGAAACAATTTTTAGGCATGCAGCAGAGTATAATATGTGCCATGCTAGCTAGTCAAGACACCATGGATCGGAGGCAAAATACCTTTGAAATATACGGAGCTGATTTTATGGTATCTGAGGATTTCAGACCTTGGTTGATTGAAATTAATTGTAGTCCAGACCTCTCTTTCTCCACAAAAGTTACCAGCAGGTTGTGCTCACAATGCATGGAAGATATCATAAAAGGTACAAATTAAAATTCTTTAAAAATAACACTAGGTACTAATGTGAGATTGTAACTTTACAAAGGAGACTAGGGATGAAAGTAATAATTTTGCTTGCAAAGACTACTTTCCTAGATTATCTATTATCTTCAGACTTTTCTTGGATTAAAGATAGAATACAAATCAAAGAAAATGATATGGAAGATAACCGACATATTTTTCTGGAAATTACACTTTCTTTTTTTTGTCCCTATCCCTAGAGATGAAATATAACGCAGATTAGTCCAATCAATCTGTCACATCCTAATGTTAAATTTACAAAAATACGACCTGGAAATAAAAAATAAAGTGATATAGGAAAAAAATTCTAAGAAAGATAGTGCTTTTTTTCTGTGGCGCATAAATGGCGAAGTTAACCTAAAAAATTCATAAAAGTCAAAAAAACGGTTTTTCGCTAATAAAAAAAAAACTTGAACTCCAATAGAAAAACGTTAAATGAGAAAGTTGTAGCTATTAAAAAACCTATCGATTCGTTTTTTTAAATATATATATTGCTATATTACTTAGATATATTGAAAAAACCGTCAAAAATCGACTTTTATTGTTTTTGCTGTATCTCTTGCAAATTAAGGTTTTGAAACTTGTTACTTACTGTAAATGTAGCCTTCGGCAACGCAAAAAAGTGCCTACTTTTAAATTAAAAAGTATTAAAAATTTTTCGAGTTATATCGATTTTTTGAAAAAAAGGTCATCTCGAAAAACGTCTCTTCTTGCTCGACGAATAGTCGTAGAGACATGAATTGGGGCTTAATTTTTTCCTTAAGAGTTGTACTTTCATAGTAAAAAAGAGTGATAACGATTTTATTCATTTCAAGTGTCCAAAAATTACTGAAGAAAGTATAAATTTTTTTGCAGCGTTTTTCTTGAATATCTTTTTTGATTTTCATTTCTCGATAATGTCTATTACAGGAATCGATTGCTGGCATTTCTACGCGAATTTAAAAAAAAACTTACTCTACGACCTTCTGAAGCCGAGATTTTTTTTTTTTTCAAAAAATTCCACAGACCGCTATTTAAGTGCTACAGCATCCATTCTTACAGAGATTGAAATTGAAAACTTATATTTTCAATAAAAAAAAAATACTGTGGTTCATTTTAGTCACTTCTGCATTTTTAATTGTGCATCAAACCGAAACATTCGAGCGCGGCGCGAGTTAACTGTAGCAGGCAGCGGAGTGGGGATAACACTACTCGGCCACTCCCAAAACTGAATTCGCGCGTACACAAGCGCTCTTACTTTCAAAATCTTCCTTATCTCGACTTCTGGACCACGTACAAAAATCCATTTGTACTTAATCTGGGGTAGCTCGACGAGATAAACCAAAATATGACGTTTACGACGGCCTCAAAAGCATAATCTTTGAAAAATGTAATTTTCCTTTAGACTAAAATTCTCTCACCTGTTGTTAACATTTCAATAATTATTTAATAGTCGTTTAGCTTGAAGGTACAGTAAGACACTTCTGGCTTAATTCAAGTTTTCTAGTAAATTAATGTAAATCTTTATGACACTGATTACCTGTCTTTATTACCTTTTTAACTATCAAATTAAAATCTACAAATTCGTTTTCTTATATGTTAGTGTAGGAAGCATAAATTTTAAATAAAACAAAATTTTATTTTGTTACTGGCGCATCCGTCAAAATATAGAATATTTAATGAATTAAAAAATTTAAGAGACTAGCATTGCCCTAAATAAATTAGAAACCATCAATTAAAAAATATAGTAAAATTTGTATAAAAGCAAATATTGAGTTTTAATTGTGTTTCTGGACGCATGTTAATAATAATTTCTCACATAAAGTTGTAAATATCAAACATTTATGGGGGAATAAAATAAGAAAAGTAATTCTGTAAAATATAACGACGTTGAATGTCACATTTCGTTTGCATAACTTTTCAGTTGTCTGTTTTCATAGGGCATAGCCTACCTCGTTATGGAAACAATAATCTTTATAAATAGTCAGATATTTGCAATTAATAAAAAAATGGAAAATAAAGTACTTTTTAAGGACAAGCTCGATATAGTTTTACAATTTAATTTTGGCTTGAACAATGTCAATGTTATTTATAGAACTAAATAAAAGAGGTGTTCTAGCACAACTTCACTATTTTAGCAATAACTTGAAAACGAAAAACGATATCGACCTCCGGTTTGTGTATTTGTTTTCCTTAATAAATGTTCTATCAAGCTATGAAAAAAACCTATAAGAGCTGCATTTATTTTTTTTAATTAACGGAGACGATTACAAAACTTTTTTGATTAGCATCATCTACCGTTGCACAGGAAAATAATATTTTTATTCCCATATCATAAATATAAAAAAAAATAAATTTTATTAATAGTTCTTTAAAATGAGACGTCGTTTCTTGAAATCGATTAAGGCATTTAGAAGTTATGACAATTTAAAGTTTTCGAGATGTCGTCCTTCATACTGGCGTTGCTATGATAATAACAAAAAAAAGTTCAAAGTAAACTTATGAAGGGTTTAACATTTTACGTAAAAAGTGTATTTTCAACTTAGGTTATATAAGCGAAATTTCGAAAAGACGACAATTTTCTGTAACACTACAGCAGTTACGCCCTCTAGCGGTGAAGTTACAAACTTGAAAATATTTTAAATCAATTTTTTTGCCTTATTTGTTAATATATTTTTTACCCCATACAGGGTGTCCGCAAATTTCACCGACAACGTTTGACTGCATATTCATGACGACAAATCCCAGCTAACAATTTCATGTTCTATAAAAATCGTAAAAACGTTTTCAGAGCAAATTTTATAGAGCAATTCTAAGAAAATTTCAAAATGTTCTTACAACATTTATACCCTAAAAATGGGCACCGTTCTATAATNTTTTATTTAATACTTTTAACTCTTAAACCCTCAAAAATTATGGGAATAAAACTGACCATTAATCAATAAGAAATAGCAGGGTACTGCTTTCTGAAATGTATCTATTTGATTTTATTTCATTTGTCGACAATTACAAAATTTATATTCGGAAAACCTCAAAATCCCTGTCTCTAAAAGAATTTAATTTCTCGTGAGCAGATCGGAACTTGTGGGTGCAATATCCTTTAACGAGGCAATAAAAGCAACTGATTGCATCTACAGATTACATCTCGGACAAGCTTTTCTTCTTCCAACCGCTTATGGGATAACACTGTAAGAGCTTGTTTCAACAAGCCGGCGACCAGTTTAACCGAATAAGATACAGTTAATTTTGAAAGAATAAAAAATATAAAACTGAATGATGCCAGTTGACGTTTGTATTATTTATTTAATAAAAGAATTAATTTCTCTGCCAGCTATACAGGGTGTTTCATAACTCTACCAACACAGAGCAGGCACGTGTAGATGATCAGAAAATATGCCAATTTGTTAAATGTGTTTAAAATCGGGATGTTGGAAACAACGTCATTACTAATTGAATCGGACAGAAAGTAAAGTATGCATTTTTGCGACTAGTATGACTTCATGTGTCATTTTTGACGTTTACGAAGACAATTTTCCAGAAAATTGGCCACCAAGATCACCACATCTGAATAAATTTGATTTCTTTCTCTGGGAGGCTTTAAAAGAATTTGTTTATTTTACAAAGATTGTATCTGAAGCAGATTTATGGAATCATATAAATAATAAAAGCAACGCCATAAAAAATAATCCTGTTATTGCGCACAGTTTTCGGCGAAAAGTAAATTTATTATATTAGAGAAAATGGCCATTTTCAACAGTTATTCTAGTGCTATTTAACGATATCAGTAGTTCATGTGGCTAAAATTGAATTTGTTAATGTTTTATGTATAAGGTTCCAGAAATTATGAATATTGGAAACCGATTAGCAGAATCAGGCGGAACTTAAAGCTTAAGCTTAAAGCTTAAGGAAATAATAACAATTTTTATTTCCTTTAAGACAAAATACAAATTTGTATAGGAATTGTCAAAACGAGTAAAAAACCTTTTAACACATTTTTAAAACCTTTTAAATTTTTAGCATGTTTAATGTGATCACTCAAATGAAATCTTAAGACCAAGACTTGTCGGTGAATTCAATGAAATTTTATATTATAAAAATTTATATGATATTTATCATTTTGCCTTGTATTAATGCAGTGAATATCCCTATTCTTCAAAAATTTATATTTATTTATACAAACATATACAGATAATTCATAAATCCACAGACAACATAAAGTTAAAATTCGAAAATCCTTAATAGCCCAGTCATTATAGACATGAAAGAGCCTGTTTCGGGAAAAAAATACTATTAGAAGTTTCTCTGCGGCATATTGTTCGGAAACCCGTTATAAATAAAATATCAAAAAATCAACTCGAGGCTAGTTGGGAAACTTTGTTTTAACAGTGGTCAAAGTTATTGAAAAGTGGTTTTTTGACTCGCGTAAAAAAACTATTATTCACAGCGAAAAAAGTTTATACAAAAAAAGGTAGGTAAGTATTAAATAAGCCTATAAAATGAGAAAAGTCCGATTAAATTCCGATAATTTGTTTATGCACAAGAGCTCAAAAATGGTCGAAAATTGCCGTTTTTTTCAATTGCTAATAATTAATGCAATTTTCATCGCAGACACTTGTTATTCGGGATTTTTGAGGCTTTTTACACCCTAACCCCCCTAACAAATTCCGCCATGGCCAAACCAATGAAGCTTTTGGGCTGAAATTTTTACCACTTATTAAGGGTGTAAAAAGCCTCAAAAATCCTGAATTACAAGTGTCTGCGATGAAAATTGCATTAAGTATTAGCAATTGAAAAAAGCAGACAATTTCGACCATTTTTGAGCTCTTGCGCATAAACAAATTATCGGAATTGAATCGGACTTGTCTTATTATACAGATTTATTTAATACCTACCTTTTTTGTATAAACCTTTTTTCTCTAGAAATAACAGTTTTTTTACGCGAGTCAAAAAACCACTTTTCCATAACTTTGACCATTGTTATAACAAAGTTTCCCAACTACTCTCGAGTTGATTTTTTGATATTTTGTTTATAACACGTTTCTGAACAATATTCCGCAGAGTATTCTAGTATATACTAGAGTATTCTCTAGAGAGTTCTAATAGTATTTTTATTCCCGAAAAAAAGCTATAATGACTGGCCTATAAATATATTCATACACGACACAGTATTCGCAACACCTGCCATACATCTTAAAAATTTTTTTTAACAATAAAAATATATGAAAATAAAGTTGAACCAGCCCATAAGCACAATACCTCAACCTAGACTCAACTAAACCGTAATATACAGGGTGATAATGTCATTAATTTTAAGAGCAGATAGAGAAAACTGAGTATAATACGATGGCGTGATTCAAAAAAAAATTAAATGCATATTTAAGCAGAAAAAAAATATTTTCAAATCATTATTTAACCCCCTTTTCAGGCTATTACTGACCGGCTGACGTCGTCGGTTATTCAGAATTTGAGCACGGCTACGATATGAACAACGCGCCCTAGATGCAACGTTGCCATATTTATATATTTTCGCTCATATAAAGACAATAAATAAACGGTTTGCTCACGTCAGCAAATAATAATTTAAAATGCTATAAATTATTTTTTATAATTATGCAATCAACACATTAAATCGTTATTGTTGCCCAGCAAGAACCTCGAGGAGATCTGAGCATGCCTTGCCAAAAATCAGTTTTTATTAACATCATAATGTTAATTTTTTGCTGTAAGCAAATGTTCAAATACATTACCGTTACCGTCTATGCACAAGTGTACACGTTAGATAGATGAGCGGCGGATGTGATGGAATAAACCAGGGTTGTTACGTATTTATTCAGCGGCATCTTCGATACGATTCCGCAACTGCTCTACATTCTCTACCTCGGTACACGACAGATTTCATATAATATACCATATACAAGTCCATAGGATTATGGGCCCTCATCTCCCTATCCACCGATTGGGACATTGATCGTATAAAAATACACGGACATCGCGAGCAAAATGGGCCGGATGTCCGTCATGCATATGTATAATATGTGTTATAGGAGCTGCTTACGATGCATATTTGCTCTATAATCATTGCAATCGACACAAAAGTGTCATATTAGTGAGAATCCATATTGAAAGTACAAGATAAAACCTTTCTTTCTGTTGCCATATTGTGAAGAATGAAAAAAATATATATAAAATATATTTAAAAATATATACAATATAAATAGGTGAAATGGTATCAATAATATGGATTATATTTACTTTCTGACTATTTTATATATAGTTAGTTGCTAAATCAATTTAGAAAACTTTTTTTTATTAAATTTCCAACATCGTAGGAAATATAAGGTAACCAGAGCGCGCGTAAAAAATTACTATTATGTACCACATATTTCACGATAAAGCTTTTACCGCATTAAATGTACTGCTCCCTGATGGACTCTATACAAACCAACTAAGCAATTCGTAATGATGTGAGTACTCTATGTAGGTGTGAAAATTTCGATGTCTTACATAACAATTTTTTTTAGAAAAATGCACCTTAAGTTCTTGAATGCAATAATTTGCTGTTTACGGATCAAATGCCTTAGAAAAAAAATTATTCGGCAGAAAGCATTTCAGATAACTTAAGTTGCAACTGGTGTTATGTAATATTTGCGGAATTATTCATCAGATATTGTCAGGATCCTGATTAAACTGCAAAATTTAGAACCAAGTTCAACCGCACAAAATCCAAATAGTATGTAGCAAATTAAGGTCGACTTTTTGTCTTCGAGTTTGCCGATAAATTCCTAAAAAAAAAAGATCCAAAGAAATGTTTACTTGAAAGGAGTAGATTACCTGAAATATTGAAGACTAAAAATCAGTACCGATTTAACATTCTTTGGTGAAATCGTTTAATTCGAAATGGCAAAACTTAGTGAACGCGAAAGAATTGATATTTTGAGGATGATTGGTTTCGGCGATAAGTTACGAACCCATCAAGAAGCTTGCCAATTATTTAATGCAACGTACCCTGACAGACCACCAATTACGCAATCTACGGTTAGTAGGGTACTGGCAAGGTTTGAGGAAACTGGTAGTGTGAAAGATGCTCCTCGTGCGGGTCGTCCTAGAGTAGATGATGAAACTAGATTGAATATCCTGGTGGAGCTCCAGGACAACCCTCATTCTAGTACAAGGTCGATTGCATTGAACAATGATATTTCACATGTAACTGTGGTGAACTTTCTCAAAAAAGAGAAATTTCACCCCTATAAGGGTCACTTGATACATGCATTGACTGAGGACGACCCAGACCGCCGTCTCCACTTTTGTGAAGATTTAATGCATCGATGTAACGGAGACCCCGACTTCCTCAAGAACATAATTTTTTCTGACGAGGCTACTTTTTATCTTAATGGATCGGTGCATCGACATAACTGCCGGTATTGGTCTCAGGAAAACCCGCACTGGGTGCAAGAAGTAGATCATCAGCACCCCCGAAAGGTGAACGTTTGGGCGGGAATAATAGGGCGTCGTATTTTAGGCCCGTATTTTTTCGAGGAAAATTTAACTGCTGCTCGCTATTTGGATTTCCTGCGGTTCGATTTGGTCCCAAGCTTAGCAGAGTTATTCCCGAACAACGAGGATCCTGATATTCCTGAGGAAAGAATTTGGTTTCAGCAGGATGGTGCACCGCCCCATTATGGAGTGCAAGTACGGGAGTACTTGAATAACACGTTTACTGGCCGGTGGATCGGGCGACGCGGAACAATCGAGTGGCCTCCGCGTTCGCCTGATTTAACACCTCTAGACTTTTTTTTGTGGGGCTATTTGAAATCGCGTGTGTACACAAACAGACCAGGTGATTTGGAAGAACTTAAAAACCGTATTCGTTTTGAAATAAATCAAATCGACCCGGGAATGCTTGAACGAAGTGTAGACGGCGTTTACACACGCTTAGGACAATGCCAAATGGTACAGGGTGGGCAATTCGAACAATTTCGCTAGACTTACACAAACATTAGTGTAATTTTACTCGTTTGAAATGTAATTTTGTCAACTTTGTCCTTTTCGGAGCCATTAATAGTGTAAGTAGACAATTATCACTTATAAGAACTTAAGGTGCATTTTTCTAAAAAAAATTGTTATGTAAGACATCGAAATTTTCACACCGTTGTTTAGATAATTATCACTGTCATCAATTTCGAACGAAAAAAATATGCGTTGTCATTTAAAAAAAAATTATGTCATCGCTGCCGTAAGTGGATTATCGAAAAAAAATTTTTTCCACATAACAAGGTGCCCTGGATCAAATAAAAATCGACGGGTCTCACCGTTTTTCGAAAAAAAAATTGTTTAACGAAAATATGAATTTTATGCAGAACTTTTTTACCACGCTGTATATCCTTTTAATATCCACAGTATTGTTATATTTTACGATAATTACTATAAGGTTGACTATAATCGAAAATAAGTTCTGTTTATAATTTATTTGAGGCGTGTTCATATTTGTTTTTTTTTTGTTTTATTGGGATATATCAAGCAAGTATCTATCTAAATATTTTTTAACATTATTCTCACGTATTAACATTGTCTCAAGAAAATAATTTATATATGTAGGTATAATAATGATATCATTTTCAACAAGGCACAAAACTCATACACCCAACACATCAAAATAAACTCTTACAACATGGCGTTAAATAAAGTGTTGTTATATGGTATAGTAGTTCAATATAGCGTTTTTATGGAACAAAAAACTTATATTACTTATTTATTCTATAATAACTTTATAACAACAACTGTATTATTATTCTCTACAACTGCCTTAAAGAGCTTTTTCTCTTAAGTTCGATAGCAGCTTCCATATCTGTAATTTGTTATCCGCAGCAGAATTGTAACTTAGCAACCCCTTACACAATATTAGGGAGAAAGGATAGTGCAACAATCCAATACCAAAAGGTCACCATACTTTCTTCACAATTCATATTTTTGAATTTTCTTACTTAACCAGCCTGTTTTATTTTAGTGGTAATCGACAGAAGACGCGATCCAACCGCAAACACAGGTTTGTTCGAATTGGTGTACAAACAGAACTTCCCTAGAACGCCTCCGTACTTAGGAATGAATCTATCCGTACGGGGAAGAAAAATATTCAGAAGTAAAAGCAAAATAAAAAGCGAAAAGGAAAAAGAGAAAGAGAAGGAAAAAACACTGGTACGACTGAGAAAACCAGATTTTTTATCTGCAGTGGTAAACAAATCAGTTTTACCTAATTTAATATCGTCGAGTTCTTACCGGGGGCCAGTTATAGAGGACTTCATACAAGAACTTCACAAATCTGCCAACGACAAGGAGGGGATAGAGTTCGTGCCGCCAATGAAAATAAACGATAAAATCAAAACTGCGGGATCCAAACCAGAAAGGGTACCAAAAAAATTTTCATCTAAATATAAAACTAACAAAAATAATTCTTTCTGCAGAAAGCAAAACGCAAAAGAAAACAATAAAAAGGAAGCAAGTATTAATAATTATATAGATTTATTTAGTGAGTGGTCCTTGAAAAGTAAAATACCCTGTGATATCACGAAGCATCCTTGTGAAGATTTGTGGGAAAAGGAAACTGCAAGCATTTTGAAGGGAACAAATGTTTTGAAATCATGTTCAAATAGTCCCACCGACAGTGATCCAAATAAAAGTTATTTTAAACCTCACTGTTTGACTACTTTCGATTTGAATAAATTAATGCCACAATTGAGTACAAACAATTGCAATTAATGCATAATACAATATTTTTCATTTATTTTCAGCATTATTTAGCTCAGCATGGAACAAATTTGGTAATGCATATGTATGCATAGGTACGTGTCATGACCTGAAATATCCTTAAGTGCACAAACGCCACTGTGTTCATTAAAGAAAAAATAAAAAAAAAACATATTTAATGAGTGTATGTTCAAAAATGCTTTTTCCATGATATTTAAGAAACATTAACTTGCTTGTATTTGTTAAAAAAGAAAAGAATAATAAAATGTTGTTATCCATTTCATTCAATCCCCTCTCCTCGCATCCATTTTAAATTTTTTATATTCCAGAATATTTAACTGACTTTTGAAAACTATCAAAGTTCAATAAACTTGATCTTCGTTAATTCAAGATTTGAGTATGTACAAAAATGTAGGTACAAATACATACTTTTATCTTATGCTGGCACATTTTTTGTATACCTGATTAAAAAAATATATTGAAACTCAAACGGGAGAAAGGGGATTGTAATAACAATAATGTCAATACCTCTCATTGTAATCGTAAGGTAACCGCAATACCTGGCAGTCGGAAACTTGTGAGATAGAGGGCCATATATCGTTATTCAAATGGATTCTTTAGATCAAGCAGTTATCTCTTTAATTTTTTTACTCTTGTAAAATTTTGATGTAAGGCTTGGTTTGCAACTGCTTAGGATATTGACTTCTGTTATTTAATTATGAACTAAGCTGGTTGGCTAAATGGTACCGATTCAGACATGTTTCTACATCCACTACAGCATTCTCCATCCTTCTACGTCTACTTTAGTTTTGCATTTCGAATTTTTAAATTCTATTTGTTTTATGTATTTATTTGTCCTTGGTGAAAAACATGTCATTTCAGTTTGATAATCGTGAAAATGGATTGCTGAGGGCTATCGTCACAAATATTCAAATATATTCATTCTCGCTCATTAAAAAACCCAAGTGTGTATTCCCGGAGGTGATAAATATAATTGAGCGTTTAATTTTTCATTACCTATTGATTTCTGATGTTTGTGTTGTTTTCTAATATGAAAATGTAGCTAACTTAAATTTTCGAATTTAAGTTATACGAATTTCTATAATTCGATTAAACATGTTAAGGGGCCTTTATCAACAAGTTGGTATTTCAAAATACAAAACCTTTTTAAAAATTCACTGAAGATGCCCAAAACAAATATTCTATATATCTCGTATATAAAGCCCTACATCAACATTTTATGATACTGAAAAAAAGTAAACTAAATGTACGAACGATTGATCTAAAAAAATTAGACATAGTTAATAATTGAAATATAAACAAGCATAAGAAAGAGTTGGAGAAGCCAATGACCACAACAATTCCCTTTCCTCATTTCATACACAAAAGTGTACCGGAAAACATCAGTTATTAATAATATGCTTTGTAACGAAAAAAGATGCTGTGTTTTTCGTGAATTCATTCATAATGCTGTGACGCACTTTTCCTCGGTTCTCTCTCTATGGATCATTCGGTGTAAATTTTATTACTTTTAACTATGGTGTGTACACCCCCTGTGATTTAATTTTTCGAAAAGGTTTTATATTCCTCGGACTGGACTCTAAACGATGACGTTAGTTAATATCCGGTTTTATTCTCGGGCGCCAGTTTCCCTAAATTTGACGTGGGGGAAACTCCACGTATCCCTTACCCCCGGTTTAGAGTAAAGTGCACAGGTAGCTACAGTGAAGGAAATTCCAGGGGTCAATGAATTTCTTTTAGGAGAAAACGGCAGAGAGTTCGGCAGAGTAGTTTTCTCAGTGTAGTTTTATTTTAAATATGAAATTTAACGGGAGCTCTACAAAACGATATCAGCGTTTTTGCTGGTTCGGAATGTTATCGTTTTACCTCGACGGTGAAAGAAATAAACCTATTAAGTTTTACTAGATTTATTCACACAGGGAAAATATTAATACTTATTACAAATACATATAGTGTCAATTTTTATTCCTACCCACTACTAAACGACTGAAATTATTTACAAGTTTATTAACAATAATTATATACAAAATCAGTGTGAAAGAGACAAAATTAAAAAGTTATGATTCTGGGTTTTTTAC